CATAGGTGTGGCAATGAACTTTCAGTTTGAACTTTCAGTTTATTCTATTTCGAGTAAGAAGAAGATACATATGTATGTAGTGTTTAGAGCACATTTGGTTAATATGTATGAAACTGTTGCAGCTGTCATGTTAGTGTTGAAATATTGGAAACATATGTTCTTACAGAATGCTGCGAGTTAGTAGAAGTGTGTAAGGGGACTTTTGACTTTTTTGAAGGAAACATGAGGTTACCAGTTGTGTGAGAGGCATTTGTTTATTAATCATTTTGAACAAAGGTCAAAGAACTCAAAATAAATGGAAGATAAATAAATCAAATTGATTAATAAGTAATAAGTGAAAATGTTTTTTCTTTGGAAAGCTAGTAGATAGACATGTGTAAGCGGGCAAGGGCTATAAAAACAAAAATATTTTCATTTCTGCAAACTGGGAGCAAATCATAAAAGCGCTTCAAAAGGTTGCAGTTTCCGCTAACTTTTTACATGAAACGGAGAGTTTCGTCAAGCGCTACCGACCGCAATAGATGTTATAGGTTTTGCAGATGATATATTATATACATATGATGATTATACCAGATGTTGAATAAAGGTAAGCAGCGCGGTTGATTTGGCATCGAAATGCCTGAACAGCGAGTAGTCCTTATAAGTTCCCATAAAAAGCGGAAGTCGAACCCCTGAGATAGGAATCACACAAGCTAAAGTTTTTGGGACAACGACACAATCCGCTTTGGTACAAATGTGTACCACGTGTGGAAAAAAGCATTAGGAAACAGTGACCGCTAGTAATATTATTCACTACGGATCTACGCATTGAATTTTTCCTCATTCTGGGTAACTTTGATTGAGTTTAAATCCTTCAGGTAGCCATGTGATGCAACGACAGACTTTATGTGATACTACTTCTCTTTCGCATTCATAGCTTGTATTAATGTTTTGGTGGGGAGACAGAGCGCGCTTATCTAGGAAAAAGCCAGACCTCTGTATAAATACGCTGACACAATTCCGGCGATCCTGGCGCGATCGATTCGCGACTCGTTAAGATCGTAGACCGAATGCTGGTATGCATGGGTAGGTAGAGTATAGCTTGCAGAGTTTTCGTTGAGCAGCTATGTGGGAAGGAGCACCTTGCACGAGCGAGTCTTATCCCCTTTTCTTTGTATAGCTTTGAGGGGAGTTAAAGTACCCATCAAGCACAGCTTTCACACTTCATGCAATGCTCTGCTCCTTTTCTGTTTAAAATTCTTATAGCTTTCGTGAACCTATAACCATGCCCGTCTATTTGAACGCAAAATAGTCCCGGGGTTTTCGATATATCCGACTGAAGTTTGGTATGCGGATGTATTTTTAAAATGTATTATTCATTTGTCGGACAACTATAACACAATACTTCTCCAATACAACTTATTCTTCAGATATGAGATTTTTGTATAACTCCTCAATTTATGGCATAAAATTTCGGGCAATTTTTACTCATTGTCAATAGAAAACTTTCAGTAAAACTTACAAAGATCGGGTCACTATAACCTATAGCCTTCATACAACTGATGGTTCAGATATGGGACTTTACTTGAAAAGGCCTTCATTTGGACGGCTAATTGTATTTTTTGTGGTTAGTGGGGGACCTATAAAAAATTGTTACTATTTAAAATTGGTATTTTTAAGAATTCTATACCATTTCTAGGAAAAATTTATGTTTTCCTATATAAAATACATGACAATTTTTGAGCGATTTGAACGACCTCTAACAGCTGTTTTCACCAGCAATTTAAATGGAAAATAATTATTTATTTTTTGTAAAATCCCATATAAAATTCAAAAAATTAAAATAATTTTTCACTTAAATTGCTTTAATTGGCTGCAAATATTTTTTTCATTTCAAAATGAACAACAGGGACATAATTTTTTTTCGGTATAGAACAATCCTAGGGGTTGAGAGCATTAAAATTCCGACTTTACTTTTTTGGGCCGCCCTTATCTAAGCATTACATTATCTAAGCATATCAATCTAATCATATCGATATGCTAGTTCATACATGCACTTATCAATAGAGTGTAATCTATTTTAAGTACTAAATATCTAGTAAAAATTTATGTATGAAGTAACATATGTACAAACATTTAATAAAGTGCGTAGTTTTCGTATTTTTATCATGACATAGAAAGCGTCTGCAATATTAAGTAACACAATTTTTGAACTAGCACTGGAAGATATATTTTTCAACACATGCAGACATCTTCAACGATTGGATATCGTTTGAAAAAAACTCGATTTTAACAGACAAACAAAGGTACTTCATTAGCTAAAAATTTTGAGGAAATGTTCCGTCGTTGTTCAAAAATGAATCAACTCAAAATTCACTGTTTGTCATTAACTGTTAAGAATTACAATTTTGAAAAATTGTGTTGCAGAGTACTCATGCAACTTTATAAAAACCAGATTTTCAGTTCCGAACTTTTAAAAAAAGTAATTTTATGATGTAGTAGTTGTTTTTAAATTCCTTTTGGCGTTTGTTAGTGAGCTACTCCACTGTGTAACTACAAAGCGGAATTCCGAAATTATATATCTAACTAATATCAGATCTAATTCATTGACACCCAGGTATCACTCATACAGGCCTTTAATTGATTATTTACGCTGCTAAATTCGCTGACCTATAAATAACTTTTTAGTAGATAATTACAAATGTACATAAATATGTATCTAAAGTCATAACGCTTTGCCGGTGAATAAAAAAAAAACAAGCCATGTGGGAATGCAATACATACATATGTATGTACTTATATATGTCGGTACAAATGTACTATGTACATATGTACCCTGCAGGGAAAACCCGAACTAATGAATCAAATTTCGAGTTCAGCACTAGTTATTTATAGCCAAAAAAAAAAGAACCAGTCTGATAGTAAATAGATCCTCACTAGTGCGAAAGTAGTGAAACGTGGTAATTTTACACAACTATTTTATTTTACTTTTTAAAACTACAAATGGCTAGCTAAGAGTGAAATGTTCATAGTCCACTTTTTCTAATAAATAAAAATATATTTTAGTACATTTTCATTAAGTGATACGGAAATTTGCTAAGCCCAAAAAAGTCTCAGAAAATATGTTGAGTTCCAAAGAATACACAAAATTTATCAGTAGAACTCTAGATCTAAGGTGGCGAATTTACTGCTGTTTCGGAAATATTGGTTAAAGGGATGCAGAGCGAACTAAGTAGATCTCATCTGTCGAATTTAGAACTGGTTCGGAACTATCGAAAATCCACGTACTAGTCATGGTTATTGTCATTGTCTAGAACTGAACCAGCTCACCGCTAGCGCGTTTCCCTACAGGGTATGCACACACAACTCCATACATACATACATATGTATATAATAGTGCATGAATTATTTACACATTTAAATTATGTTGTATCGCGCATTGATGCGAAGTGTTGACTCACTTGTGGCAATTAATGGAAATTATAGCAACAGAAATAATAATAATATAGTGATGGCAAATAATATGCAAATGTCTAGAAAGGCAGAAAGAGGCGTTAAGCGCCTAAAAGTAGCACTCAATTAAGTAACTAATTTCAGAAATGCATTATAATTTATGTAATTACATGATTGTTGTTTTACTTTCTTGTAAAAGTATACCGATTACACATTGCAATACCGATTAAGACTTTCCTAGGTTACCTAAATAGTACCGGCCACACCGCACAGTGCAGAGCCCCATATAAAATATTGCTAAAAGTACCAGTTGTCCTACAATTTTATGGAATTTTTTATCTGTGGTATTTTTAATTAGGAATGTATGTAAATATGTGAAAAATCGCATAGATTGGCAAGCCGCCACGCCCACTACACTAGGGGGCGAATATCGTAAATGTTATCCAATTTTAATGCAATTCGGTTGGTACTTTAGTTTTAATTAGAAGAATTGAAATCTGAAATATGGGCAAAATCGGCCCACTGCCACGCCCACTAGGGGGCGGATATGGTAAATGCTATCCGATTTTAATGAAATTCGGTTTGTATCTAAGTCATAACTAGAAAAATTTAAATCTGAAAGATGGAAAATCGGATGGATCGGCCCACTGCCATACCCACCAGGCACAATTGGGATAATATCTAACAGACCTACTCTTTAATGTAGTGTGCGAAGAAATTCGCCACCCTATGATATTTTATGTACTCCTCCATTCCTGGACAAAGGTACCTACACAGCAAATTATCGTAAAACCGCAACCCAATTCTGGTCGAAACGCGAAGTCGGTGATACGATCAAGAGATAGAGCATCCCCGACTTAGTAATTGGTAACATAGTCACTTCTTTAACAAGTCTTGGACGAGTTGAAGTACGAAGGCCATTTAGAGGTTGAAAAAGGCACCTTCGAGAAAAAAGTCTTAAACAAGAGTTAAGTATTTGTATCCTCCGAATCCGAATCTGCAGTAAAAATGGTCGAAACCGAAAATCGGTAATACGACCAAAAGATAGAGCCATACCCGATTTGGTAGTTCATCAGTTAGGCGTTATTCAATAAAAAAAAATAATTTCCCACCATTTTAGTGGTCTAGGTGGACGAGTGGTCTAGGACACCCTAAATATATATTATCCATCACAAGCACTCCGAATTTCTTGGCGGATAAAACAAACCAACGAATTCACAACACCTGCATTATGCAGGTATGCAGGTAACTACTATTTACATACATAGGTACATATGTACATATGTAATGCAATCAAAACCAAAATACTGCTCACACTCTACATATTACACACGCACATTACATTAGTGAATTTCATAATTAAATGCCATTACGCTTGAATAATTTTCTTCATTTGCACACAAAAAAGCGAGAGTAATTTTTCTTTTGGTGAAGTTATTTTTGCATAAATTTTTATGATACCCCGGTCTTAGCGTGGAATTTTGTTAATTAATTTTGCAGTAAAATTATTGACGTAGTGAATGTACATAGATAGATAGCCAGTTAAATAAGTTAAAACTACAACTTACCAAATTCGTCGAAGTACTGCTTTTCGCTTCATTAACTTTTGGTAATGTAGATGGATGTGTGGCTCTGGGTGAACTGAAATGAAAAAAAAAAATTGTTTTGAATTAAAAAAAAAAGTGTTCAGAAGGCAGGAGGAGAAAGGCCAAAAGGGGAAAGTTAAAGCCTTTTCTCCAATTTTAATGTAAAAACTTATCTATTTACGACACACAGTTCTCGTAAAAGGAATTGTGTTCTAACATAAATCTTAAATATGCACATATATAGGTATGTAGATATTAAAATATTTTGTATGCAGTTAAAGTATACGCACTGTAATATTTAGTTGAGTGTAATAATACATACAAATTTAGGATAAACGTAATGTAAAAACATGTAAATATGTATATAAGCGCATAATAACGACCAATGAAAGAAGCTTAGAAATTGAAATTAAATAACTCTCTTGAAGCGCCTAAAGCAGTAGTAAAAAGTTTTTTGGATTATACAAATAGACATTCAGAGCTATTTAGCTGAAGTCGATGAAAAGGTTATGAATTTTATGAGCTAAAAATTGGGTTGCGAAATTATGGAATAAAGTCTATAGCAACAACATGTATTAGAAATTGTTTTTGATTGTTTCCTTTCTTAGGCTTAATCGTCTGTGAAAATATTCGTTCTGTAATGCGATAAGTATGTGTATTAGGGTGGTCCAAAATTGCATGTTAAAAAACTAGAGTCCAAGTTTTAATGCTCTCACTCCCTAGGATTGCTCTATATAGAAGAAAATATAGCCCTGATTTTTTTTTATCTCGAAATCAAAAAATATTTAGAGGCCACCCAAAGAGCACAAAGTTTTCCGCGTACTTTACTTATGTGGGGAAAAAACAATTTTTCGTACAAATGGTATAGAATTCTTTAAAGCAATATTTTTTGAAAACTCTATTCTCTTCAAGAGGCTTCCAATAATGATACCCAATTGCTAATTTTAACATTTTTTAAAACTAACGATTTTAATCCCCTTTGCACCTATATATAAGTAAGTGTTTGGCCGCGCTTCTCCTCGGATTCGTGGCGTGCGCCTTGATGTTGTCACACAAAGGGGAGGGACTTACAGTCTAACGCCGACTCCGAACGGCGATTATATTTTTATGGGAAGCTATTTTTCAGGGCAGAAATGCACTGGGGAGGTTTGCCATTGCCTGCCGAGGGGCGAGAAAGAAAAACTGTTTCTATATATTTTTGCGATGTTGCTTTGACCAGGGTTTGAACCCAGGTCCTGCGGAGTATTGGTAAGCAATTGGCAATAACAGAACTGAATTTTTATATCAAAAAATATTGATTTTCAAGAATTCTATAAATTTTGTACGACAAATAGATTTTTTGCCACATAAAATACATGGAAAACTTTGAGCGCTTGGAGCAACCTCTAAATATTTTTTATTTAAAAATGAAAAGAGCTATATTTTGTCGGTAAAGAAAAATCCTAGGAGGTGTGCGCATTAAAATTCCGACTTTCCATCTTTTGGACCACCCTATGTATATACATGGAAACTCAGATTTGTGCAGCTAGTAGGTTACCTTCTGTTCTAGCAAAAACTCGAACTCTTTTCAAATAAAATAAAATTTGGTCTACTTTACAACTTTCCCTTTAAAATATTACAACCAAATTTCGTCATCTGTGAACTAAAATGTTTCGGAAAATCCTAAGAAAATTGTATGCTTAAAAAAAAATCTCTTAAACGATTTCATTTATGTGGCACCATCTAATACGATGTTTCCACTCCTCGTAATTCGCTCTCTCATACGTAATTCGCTCTCCCATTCGTCATTCGCCATCCAATTACCCTTCGCCATACAAAATATTGAGAGCGAATTACCTCATTTGTAGGTATCGATGCCTTCTCTCATATTTATCGGAAATATATCGAAGTTTTCACGGCCTGGTTCCATTTGCTGGCACTTTTTCTAGATCCTGCAAAAGTAATTAATAAAATATTCTCTATATAAACTAAAATCTTTTATAATAACTTAAATTTTTGCTCCATCTTCGATATTTGCAGTTCACAACAATAATAATAAATAGCAAAGAACAAGAACAAGAAGTAGAACTGCCAAACGAATTACGAATGTGTGTGTCGTGGAAACAGGGTAGTTCACGAATTACTTAGCGAATTACTTAGAGAGCGAATTACGAAGAGTGGAAACATCGTATAAACTTTCAAAATTTGAATCATTGGATTTATTTTGCTGACAGAAGCCTAAGCGGTTTTCGTACTTAGTAAATTATTTTCTGTTGAAAGGTTTCGCGACGATTTTCCATAAATTACTTGCTTCGATACAACAGTATCATCTTCCGCCATGGCGAAACGAATACAGAAGGTGGCGCTGATTGTGATACCGCTAACTCTCTATTGAAAATTTTGACAGAAGTGTGACGTCATATCAGTTTTCGTTTATTGCCTGTGTAATATACATATACATATACAAAACATATATGTACATATATACTGACAGATCTCTCTCAGCTCTCTCCACCTGCAAATCTGCCAATACGTCATATTCACGCGTTAAAGCCTAATTATGGCAACTTAACTTAACTTAACTTAACGGAACGTAGAACTTAGAGAATCAAAATGAAACAGATTTCGACGTGGCATTAAGTTACGTTAAGTTTCGGCTGTTCAATTATAAGCAACACCCATTTAACAGAATTTTTACGAGAGAGCTGTAAGTTACGTTAAGTTGGCATAATCAGACCATTACTCTCCCGAATTTTCACATCAATCAGCGCAATATTGCATTCCATCGGTTTTGCCTTCTCCTAGATTTTAGAGCAGTGCGCCTATTCTTAATTGGTCAATTAGGTTGTAGTTTCAGCCTGTTGCCTTATACTTAAACATAAGCTGTTAAATCAGAGTATAAGTTACGATATTTAAGTGTTGGAATTGTAAACCTTAAACCAAAACGGAATTCTGCATAATTTTAAAGCTGGAAAGCCAAGTTCTACATACCAACGTACATACATACATACTTATAAAATAACTGCTTTAAATGCTATTATTTTCCGTACAACGCTCAAACGAACCGAGAATTATTTAACCAAGCAACAGCAAATAAATTCCGACATTCCTTACGTGTTAGCGTTGAAGCCAGGACACGTTGTACAATAAACATTAGTACAGTGAAGAATTTGTAATGCTATGCGATGGCAGAAAGAAAAGAAAGAAAGGTGAGAATGCAGCAGCTTTGTAGAACGAATAGGAAAAAATAAAGTAAGTATGTACATACCATAGGAATTAAAAAATCAACTGTAATGTATAAAAAAAGGCAAACAAATAAGGCAACACCTGAAAAAGGTGTATACGGAAATATAAATATGATTGTATGTAGAACGTACATTAAAGTCGAAATATACACACATATATGTATATGTACATATGTATTTATGTCCGCGATGATATGCTAGATCAAAGGATGTTTTGTGTGAAAATCTATGTTTGTAGTGACGAGTGAGACCGCGCACAAAAAGCAAAAAAAACAAAATCATTACTTCAGAAAACGCTAAGGAGGACAAACTGATGCTGCAGCTCTTTCTATGTAGATCCTTTCATATCCTTTGTTGTATTTGTGATTTGCTTAATTTCCTAGAAATGAAAAATCTACGAATTAAGTATTGAAGCAGTAAATGCAAACATTTTTACATACATACTATATGTACATATATATTCATATGCACTGTACACATTCACATGGATTTATGTACTTATAAGTAGGTACACACATAAGTATGTGTGTCCTAGGTGTGGCATAGCTGGTTAAACCAATATTTATTTAGAAAATACACCTTGGCGCTCTAGGAAGAGGTGCCACAGACGCTTAAATCCAGCGTCAAACAATTGACTAGGTGTATTAATGCAAATACTACCCAGGCAACCAACAGAGTCTGCAGGGTGCACATTTAGCACTCTCTGAGCGGTGCGCTTATGTCGCTAGGGAGGCTCTGAAAAGAGTTCAAAAGGAGCATATCCGCCGGAGAAAAGGTGCCTTCTCAATATATATGAAAAAAATTTGTGCGTTTAGGACTCCTTAAATTAGTGATTTCGGAGTCCCAGATAGCTCCGTCAGATAATCCGCTGAGACTCAGTGCTGACTCCCCTATTCGTGTATGATTTTATGAAAAGGATTCCTTAAATGATCCAAAGATAACTTAGACGGGGTTTTTTGGGAGTGATCCGATTATAGACCGAAGAGGAGGATTAACGGTTTTTCAAATTGCTCCTAATTAAATTTATAAGCATTCGAATTTTTTTCGTAATTTCTTTTTATTGAAAAACCTTTAAATTAAAGAAAATTATTTAACATATTAAGTATTCAGTTAAAAGAGAAAAAATTATGAAATAAGTAAAAAATATTTTTTAGCTTTTTTAAGGACGTTTCTTTGAAGTGTGAAACCACTTTGCCTTCGTTCTATTGAATTAAAATGCGCCTGAAAAGTTCTGAAGTTAGCCAAAAGTAATTTTGTATGAGTTATTGCTTAGCTCTAAATGCATTCGCAACTGTCATAACGTCAACTGTTTTTTTCGCGGTGCCCCTTTCCAGGAACATTCGGATTAAACATTTAATTTTCATCTTACAGACTAGATGCAAAGAAAAGAAAAAACAGATAACATGAAAACACTTTCGACTCTCTTTTCACTCCACTTCCGGAAGGTGGAAGTCCCTTATGACTCCATATTAGGAGCATTTCGACAACGCACCCTCCAGGTGATACTGTTTTAGTCCTTTTTTACTCCATATTTAGCGCCCTCCGCATTTGGTTAGCTGGGATACTACATGTACACATTACATAGGAATGTATAAATATTGCGGTGAGTCTCATTAATGTAGTGTTTTACTAGAATTACGAGAGACTGGAATGTGCACAAATAGCATTTCCAAAAAAAATAAAAAAATTTCGTCTGCACTTGTGGGTGTTTAAATTCGGAATACATATTCACTGCAACATGAGAATTGAATAATTTTCGAAAGTTTCGCAATTCAGTGGATAATGTTCTTCGACGGCAACTTGAGTAACATAAATTTATAAATTTTTGGAGATGTCTTTTTCGTGTTTTTTTTTGGATTTTCATAGCGCCTTCTCAAACTCTAGAGATAATTCCAATATTATTTGAATGCAAAATCACTCTTTATATATATGAGATACTTTGAAAGGATAAATATAAGAATCTTATTGAACAATATACATATGAATTTGTATGTACATATTACCGGCATTTCGATTCGCTCATACGCTTTTCCCTATTATGCAGAATTCTTGCGTTTGGCATATTTCGAGGTCATGACTTTCCATCAATTATTTTGAATATGCAATTGTAAGATGATGGGTAGAAAGCTCATGCGGTCAAAGCTCATAAGTTTTGTTCTAATAGACCAAGGTAGGGCGATTTGATTCTTCTTGTTGTCTCAAATTGAAAAACTGATAACATTTGAAAGGTAAGTATATACAGTTACTACCAAAATAGAGCGTTCTTTTTTGTTAATTTTGTATTAAAATATGGCTCCATTTAAATCCAAGAATGAGACAATGTACAAAAATTGTGAAAAATCTACAAAGTTTCAGCAAAATCGCAAACTTTTTAATGCGAAAAAAATAGTTCAGGTATGCAGTTTTATAGCCCATTAAATTTTAGTATAATAATGTGCAAATTTCAATTCTCTAAAAAATCGCGTTAATTTTCAAGAATTTTTTTGCTGACTGTCCTACGCTTTATATGAAAAAAAAATCTGTAGGACAGCCAGCAAAAAAATTCTTAAAAATCAAAGCGAATTTTTAGACATCGGAAATTTGCACATTATTATACTAAAATTATACTAATGGGCTACAAAACTGCATACCTGAATAGTTTTTAGATATTCTTATTAAAAAGTTCGCGATTTTGCTGAAATTCTTGGATTTGAATGGAGTTTGCTAAAATATAAGCCATATTTTAATACAAAATTAACAAAATATTTTTAGCATGTAAAACATTGCGAATATTAACAAAAAAGAGTCGTACGCTCAATTTTGGGAGTAACTGTGAGTAGTTTAATTTTTTGTTCGCCGTATGCCTTTCTGAAGGGTCTGTGCAATTTTTGAATTCAATCTACAGTTTTGAAAATCTTTTGGCGACGTCATAGCACCAATCCAGACTGATTTTACTGACAATTCATAGGGTGGTTTTTAATTTTTAGAGTATTTTAATTGAGCACAGATGTGATATCTGGCATGATTTAAAACTTCAAACAATATGCACTTTAAACCAATAAGGGTGGGTTGATTTTATCGAGACGTGTATTTAATTCACGCCGTTTTACGAACTCCCTGTTTACTACACATAATGTTAGTGTGCAAGGTAAACCAAACTCGAATCATATTTGTTGTTATGAAAAAAGTTATAAATGTATCAGCTGGTAAAGGAGTTTCTAGTCACGTGCATGAAATGTTTAACCTAAATTTCGGAACACTTTTGAGATTCGAGTTAAAGAATGCATTTAGTACATAAATATGTATGTGTAGATAAATATGCATAAATGTATGCAGGTAGTCAGCGTGTCATGAGCAAAAGATGTAGATGGACGTGACAATTGGTAGTCACATAAATGTAGGTATCTATGTATGCAATTTACATACTTGACATTCAGAGAAAGTGACTCATCTGAATCAAATTAATAATAGTGAAAATACTCGTATGTAGTATGCATTCATATGCATATACATACCTAGCATGTCTACATATATACACCTATGTATTATTAACTTTCTTGAATATGTACTAATGCAATATGCATTCATGCAGCATTTTATTGACTGGACTTTCGTTGCTACAGGCAAGCACGTTTCACTATTCATGCATTTTTAAATATGTATATGCTTATTAAATCGACCATGTTAGCCCATTACATTACCAAATGCCACAAAATTGCTTATCATCTGAGCATATTGAAATTTAAATGTAATCAGAAGGTGCATGTTTGTACTTGTATGCACATAGATACATATGTATACAACCACTTCATGAGAGGAAGATCACATGGGGGTTGCCATATATGCCGACCAAAGACAAGTGTTTATACCGCTTGTAGTTGTAATCAGCGAAAAATCCTTTATGTTGACCATCTGATCAATGAAATTAGATACCTAGCTGGTCCTTCTGAGATTGAGGTCAATATGAGTTTTTCCTATCTGTAGCTACATGATGTCTCTCAGTTATTGCTGACCGAAATGTTCACCTGTGGCTCCAATGGCCGAAGGTTATAGTGCTATGACTGGTTGCGTGCCGAGGAATATCTGGTCCTTGCTCTTTCTGGCCAAATGTCTCAGACCGAAATGTCCGGTCAAATGGTTCACCAGAACTAGATCCCAGATATGTACACTGGTACGCAGACGGATCAAAGATGGAGGGTGACCAAACTTTCTATTGCAATGGTTGCTTGGTGCACGGTCTTTGAGGCCGAAGTACTTGTTATCTCAATTTGTGCCAGACGGAACCTTGAGAAGGATTTAAAAGGCGCTTTTCTAGTTATCTTTTGAGATAGCCAGATGGCCATAAGGACCCTTTGCAATAGGAAGATCCCCTGCAGGCTCGTTAAGAAGTGCTTTGACACTATTCAACTCTTGGCAGCAAGGAACACGGTATTACTATACTGGGTACCAGGACATGCGGGATCGTGGGTAATGAGGCCGTCGACGAATTGGCTAGGGAAGTCTCATCGTCTTGTGGGAGGGGAAGTTGTCAGTCTCCTCGAGGCTTATAACAGAATCGTGGTTAAACTCCAGAGCGTAGTAAGTACTGGGGAGAGATAGGAGGCCTTGACAGGTCAGACGTTTTGGTTATCCTTTCGCTAGTAAAGATATATGTACATCTTTTGGACAGAGTCGATATCAAGTTGCTTATTGGCTACCTGACGGGTCATAATCACCTGCGATGGATTTCCGTCTTTGCTTTGAGGACGAGCAGACGTCGTGGCACATTATGTGTGACTGTCCGACATTGGCCAGACTAAAATTGAAATGCTTCAGTTCTTCTACAGTCGATGTCCTTAAGGCTAGGAATTTGTCTACCAAGAAACTTTTGGTTTTCATAAAGGAGGGAAATCAAGGTTAAGAACCATCATAGGGATACAAAAGATCATCTCCCTATGTCACGGTGTCCCTTTCTGTTACACACAAAAAATTTACATTACATTACAACTGATCTAAACATAAATTGTCTTGGAATCTTATTTTTCTCATTTGGCTCCACAACCGTTCGTCGGTTTTTATGCTCTCAAATACTTATGTCCATGTCGTGAAAAAACTCGCACTCTTCGCCATTCCATCCTCTTCGGTACGCGTCGTCCACGCAAAAAGGACCATAGATTTTAATTAGAATAGTTCACTCGGAAGCCTCCAAAACCTTCTATTTTTTCGTCGACATCGTCCGCGTTTCTGCGTCATAAAAAAAGGACAGGAATGATAAGAGATTTGTAGCGCGTAATTTTGGTTCGTCGAGAAAGGGCTCTGCTTTGCAATCGCCTACCGAGCCCAAAATAGGACCTCTGAGCAAGAATTATACTTCACTTGATTTCCAGCCTGATATTGTTGGTGGCATTTTTGCTGTCTTGGAATACCAGGACAGTTTATCCAAGAGAAAAAGAAGATTATCCCCGCTAATTTCAGTATAGACTCCATGTCCCGACTAGTGCTAGGGAAGTAGCTTCTCGTAAATGTAAAATATGTACGTACAAATAAATTCCGGATTAAAGTTATTCAAGTCTGACCAAGCGCAGATTCTGTAATCGCCATTTATTAAGCAACGTAGCACATTGAACACGGCAAGTAGCCGACCGTTAGGGTATTAAAGCTAATTAGCCCGCTTGCTTACGCTCTAGTGAAGAGTGTGAGTAGTAAACTATACACTGAAAAAAGTATGCCAAGTCGACATGCTCCCTTCGGATGCACCTTCAACTCAGCCATCTCTCGCTTATTAAGCTCTTAAACAGAGCTTCGTTCACAAAACTCACCGCCTTTGCAAAGTGTACGCCCTGCACAACCAACTCGTCGTTGTTGTGCTTTTCTTTGGCTTTATTCCTCTTGCCACTTTCGGCCCAAGCTGTAATTCTGCAACTGTAGTGGCAGTTGTAGTTGTTGACCTCTGGCTGACCATGGCTGAGCAACAGCTGACATTGGATTCGCGCAGCTGCATTTGGCACTGGCCGTGTCTGGGGGAAAGGAGCGTTCTACTTAACGACAGTTACTAATAAATTAATAGCACACTGACACTTTAAATGGGCGAGGTTAATTTTTTTCTGCACTCTTTTCTTTTTCTTATATTAGTATTTATGCACTTTTTTTGCCTTTGCATTTAGCACTTGCACTTTGACACTGAAAAGCGTTGAGGATACACAAAAAAAAAATAAAATAAAATTGACGCTGACTGACTACATAGAGTAGCGCTTTGTGTGTTTGTCATTTCCATGTATTTGGTAAATGCGTGCTCCAACTAATTGGTAATTAAGCCGGTGAGAACAAGCGTGAAATAACTTTTCAAATAAAAACCAGTTCACATCTCTATGTATGTATGGTATATAGGTAGCTGTTGTACTTTCATTAGATACTGTTGTTGAACTTATTTTTTGCAGGTATTTTTTTATTCACATTTTTTTTTGTATTTTACTCGAAAAAAGAAAACAAAATGCCGATGCGGAGATACTACGCGCTTAAATTTTTATGAATGAATTAAATGACTGAGACGAATGCGAACACCCCGACCGGTGTTTGAAAAGCAACTGACTCATTTGCGAGTCAGCCAAAGGCAAAGGCAGATTTCAATTTCCTTTTGAACTCAATTCGTCGTTGAGGCCTATTATTTTGAAATAAACAACCGCCGCCGCCACCATCACCACCACTACTACCACAACCACTACCGAAAGGCGGTCGGAAGACAACACAGCACCAGAAATGCACCAAAAGTATGTATGTACATATAATCAAAGAACATACTTATAGCAGACGTGCGGTCCGATCGGTCTCTATGCTATTCTCTGGTACTATGCAACCAGTGTTGCCAGAACTTTTTGGGGCGACCGGCAAAAATATAACCAGAATTCACATATTTTATTTAAATGCAAAAATTACAATTAGGAAGACTAGTAAATCCATTACTTTTTTTTGGTTAACAAAGATTATATTAGTAGCTAAGCTGTACATCAGAAGTCATCTTTGTATTACTTAAATATAAAAAAGAGATAAATTACAAACTTATGGCGTTTTCTTTTCCATTGAACAATTTTTCCTTATAAATATTGCAACATTTACAATAGGTTGCTTTTTGTCCTGCAAAATGGCTATATTATATTTGCTTAGTGTGAGGGCAATATTTTGAGAAATCAACACGTAAAGCGATGAAAGGGCTGAGGAAGAAGGAGGAGGTAAAATGATGCCCTGCAACTTGTAACAGTACCAATTTTTGGATTCTGGGAATTTTCGGATAAAGATGTGGTGCTACTAAAAAAATATATATATATGTACATAAATATAAGTACGAAACTATGTATTTGTGACAAGAATTATCCACATAAGATGAAAACTACTGCAATTTCATTTTATAAATTTTTTTGTTTATAGAAAAATGCATCAGTAAGACAGTTTCGGTACGGTTCGATTAGTTGTACATGATTTTGGGTTGTCGTGTCAAAACGCGTGACCCGAAAGAAAAAAATTTTACATATACGTCTAGCAAAGGGATTAGGCATTAAGTTAAAACAAAGATTTCTGTTTGAAAAATGCATTTTTTGTTTGTAAATTTGGAGGTGGATTTTGCGCAAAAATAATGTGCATGACGTAACCAGAGTTGGACTGATGAGGTTATATCTTCTAGCGCGGCCGAAGGCCAGCAAGGCGGAAATAATAACAACAAAAAATAAAGTATATTTGAACCATGATGCAATTAATCATAGATATTGTCTTCCCAGAGAGTTTTGCTCCACATCGAAATTCGTGCTAGAACTTATACATTTGGATTTTAATAAAATAATGCGAATAGCCAATAGAAAATGGGCTAAAAACGGCTAATTTTTTTTTTTTTGCAAAACGGCTAACAAATCCGCTGCCGGCTAAACCGAATTTTCTCCGGCAGGCTTAAATCTAACCGGAAAACGGCTCAAATGGCAACACTACATGCAACATAAAAAATCAACAGCTGCAGTGGTAGCTCGTCGGCACATTGAGGTTGTTTATTTTTGAGTTTGAGTGAGAATTTTTGGAGTGCATACAAGCGTATGTTCATCATGTATAGGTAAGAACGTATATTAGGTCATTCCTTAATTTTTTCGAAATATATATATATGTATTTATTAACTAGTCAAACTCCGTAGCAGGGTACTCTGCCAATAACTGTATTAAACATGGGACCATTCGCAAACAGTCAACTGTTTATGCAATGGCTTTCATTACCAAAATTTCATATGAGAATAATGGATCTACATATTTACGCATTACCAAAAATTTAAGATTTATTTCAGGAGTGGTGGACAATGCCTTTACGCACGAATTTGACTTCAGCGAAATATATGGAACGATCGAGCAGGTAAATCACACCAAATCCGAACAGCGTTTGAAAAGAGGGAATATTTCTGAAGCCCATGCAATTGAAGCTACAGTACCTGTGTTCCTAGGTAATCATCAAGAATGATAGAATACAAGATTGCGCCAATACAATAAGAAAATTTAATTTTCATTACTAGTGCCACAAATTTTATTATGACGTCAGAGAAAGGGTGGATACCGTCAAATTGCCTAAGAGATGATTAACGGTACGCGGAAGGGGTCACATTTGCTTCGTGCACCGTGGTTAATCATATGAAAGCTGTGGCCAACTGACTCGCAAACTGGCGAATAAAGGATAACGAGCAATAATGTAAGCAAGTTACATTTACCCTGAACAAGAGCAACTGCAAGCTTGACTTCGAACAACGTACAAATACCACTCCACTGCTTAGGGGTACGCTGGACGGGCAACTTACTTGGCGGAACCACGTAGAGGCTAAAAGGACTCATATTAAGTTGAAGGCCAGTTCTCTACACTGGCTTATTAACACTCGCTCGTTCCTGAGTATGAAGTAGTAATAACATTGTGGAACTTCTCTACTCGGTTAAAAAATTCATTTTCGGAATTCGGCTCTATCCTATAAATATTATGAGTAAAGTTTTGTGCTTGCGACACAACGAATTCTATTCGAGTGAAAATGACGTGTAGAAGGTACAACCTAATGTTAATATGTATGTAAGTGCATATCGTCGTTTAAAATACAAAACCGCATGTCGGGGTTCTGCAAAACCTCGTAACTGACATTTGTGCCAAAAAAGATATTCGTTCACCGGAAGCTCCTGGCATCAAGCCCTTATCCACTCATACTAAAATATCGATACTTCGATATAAGAAGAAGAGCTAGTTAGAGATAAAAGAGATACCCGTTTTGAAATAAGACAAGCTTTTACGTATAAAATTTTGGCAACCTCACATACGAGGTTTTGCATTTTCTTTTTATGCGGTTTTGTACTTTAAACGACGATATGTACATTGGTCGTTCTACAAATGTCTACAAATAAAATTTATTCACACAAGCTATCCTGCTGCTGCTAAGAAGGGCGCCCTAAATGTGTTTTCAAATGAGTAAAATGGTCCGAGAATGCGGAGGCAAGATAAAAGTAATTAAAGAATACAACAGCAACATAATATTTAATGTGAAGAATCGTAAGTAAATGAGGGGAAGTATTAAAGGAAATGGTAATAGTGAAATACAACAAAATTTAGGAGAAGTGCAATTACATACTATTCATATCTTTTTAATTGCAGTTTTTAATAAAAATAATGAGGTGGCATATATAACCATAAAAATTTTGGTCCACGTTTGTTACAACACTAGCGGTGTTGTGCTTGGCTGCTTTTTCTTCATATAGTCTTCGAAAAGCGTACGATTCTTATCTATACATATACAGTGAAACCTCCCTTGGGCGGACACTCACCGTCAGTCATTTGTTGTCCGCCCAAGACAGGTGTCCGCTTAATGGAGGAGAAGCCTGTTTTAGAACTTTTTAATGTTTTAATTAATTGAATAGTCACTATTTCTTATTTGAATAAGAGATATTGATATTACATCGTTCAAACAAAAATGTGCATGTATGTTTTCAAAAATGCACATTTCATTTATGTGCGTAAGTACATATTAAGTAATAACAAAATAAAAATAAATTTTACATTTTAGTCCATAAACTACATAAAACCATAGATTCATTACATAAAAAACTGGGAAATTGTCGATTGACGTAAGTTTTATTTTTAATTTTTTTCAGTGTCAGTACCTTTTTCATCAATAGTTTCCATGTTTTTATCAGTCTCCAAGGGTTTCTGACAATTCAAATAACGAACCTAAACCACTGCGCAAACCAAACTAAATGTGTGCATAACAATCACATTTTGTGCGGGAAGTCCCCTTTTTCCATTTAGTAGTCCGCCTATGAGGAGGTCGCGTCCGCTCAACGGAGGTTTTTGTTTGATTTGTTATGAAAAGAAATCTTAATGTCCGTTGATAAGAGGTTCGCGTCCGCCCAATAGAGTTTTTGTGTCAATTTTATGCAAAATAACTGTCCGCGTCCGGCCAAGAGAGTGTCCGCTTAAGAGAGAGTAATTTGTTCCGAAATTTATAGGAACTTGGTATAGGAAAAAATGTCCGCCCAAGGGAGATGTCCGTCTAATAGAGGTGTCCGTTAGGAGAGGTTTCACTGTACTTTGTATGTACACTTAGGTCTCTTTTTGTGCGGTTTTTTATGCGGATTTGAATTAATGCGGTTTTAGAAATCATTTTTTTTCGCTCTAGCGACTTGGTTTTATGAGAGTTTTTATTACTTTTTTTCAGTGTGTAAGAGACAATGCTTCTGATAAATAATTTGTCTTTGTATTCTTAAATAATTCATGTATTTATTCTGGTATTTTTTTTTTGTAAAAATACGGATAAAATTTTATTTATTTCAATCATGTTCAGTTTTACATGGAATAATATGTGTTGAAGTGAAGAAATAAATTGTTTTTTTTTTCTTAATATTGCCTCACTGGATTTTTGTATGTGGTTTTTTTTAGAATTTTTTACACGGAGTATCTGAATTTATGCGGTTTTTGAAAATGCTGCAACGCATCCCCTGTTTTTGTATGAAAGTAAAGAACTTTTTTATGCGGCTTTCTGAGGAAAGCATGTATCGCATAAAAAAAGGCCTGAGTGTATCTATAAATCTATCTGGATTATTATAAAAACTTATTGTGATATGTAGATCTGCCAAAATTTGCTCATTCGTGCCATTTGATCAGTAGGTACAGGCAGATTTTACTAAGTGTATTCTATTAAATTTATATAATTTCGTTCTAATCTATCTTATTTAATCTTATTTAATTTAATTTTATTTTTATTGTTTTAATAGATAGGTATGTATCTACTTATTATGTATGCCAGTTTATTTATTCCCCATCAGGACATTCAACTGCTGTTAGAATAGTTTGTGTGACAGCTGATAACAGCTGCTGCTGAGCAGCGTGCTTCTTTGTTAATCTGTTGCTTTTTTAGCCGATTTTGAGATGCAGCTGCCATAAAGTACAGAAGTAAATACATACATACATACATATGTATGTATTTATGTGTGTGCAAATGTACATACTTATGTATAAAACCAAAGAAGGACTCTTAAAGAGGAGGTGTACTTTTGTGCTGTATGCGTGTACTTAATAATGGAAATATTTGTTATTACATGATGATTTGTTTTAAATGCTTGATTAAGAGAAAAGAGGCCTGAAACGGATGAGTGGCAAGGCATACTTTTGATTAGTTGAATTCTTGTCATCAACCGT